TTACCGAATTTAACGCTTACTGGATGTAATGCTTACTGGATGTAATGCTTATCGGATGTAATGCTTACCGGATTCAATGCTTACCGGATGTAATGCTTACCGGATGTAATGCTTACCGGATATAATACTTACCGGATATAATACTTAGCGGATATAATACTTACCGGATGTCATGGGGCAGCGGCCACGTTTGAAAGAGATTTCATCGATTGCGATGTCACTTGTGAAAATACGACCAACAACTCCTTCAAACACCACCTTACAGATACAAAACGACAAACGCATGTTTAAAAATACCATAATAACCCTTATATCATGCAGATGATTGACTATTAGGATGCTACAGTGATGGTATCATACAACACCTGGTATGGTTGCTGGTCCACAAAGATGTTAATGCTCTCAGTCAACCAAAACTTCCCATGATCACCTGAGGTCGTCCATACTGTTCGTGAAACCCCATCACTGCCTTTGACAAATACAATCAGCGAGCCCATACCTCTGCCGTTCATATTGTACGAGAAAGAGAGGCACTGGGTACCACTCATGAAGCCGCTGACTAGCAATGCTCTGTCTCCAAGACGCCGTTTACTCGCTTCAGTGAATGCATAGTTTCCTGTAGAATGCAAACACTTTGACTTAATGAACATTGATGTGTATGGGCCGTATCATGGAGTCAACTGTAGTGATAACTAGAAACCAAACAGGTCAAACAGGTTTGCTTACCTAATCCATAGAAGTCACGTGATGGCCCTGTGAAAAAGCTTGGCGTGTTTCCTTTACCAATTGACCAATCGAAATCATCAGTGCCGACATTGGTCCAGGCTGGGCACATCTCATTATCGAAGTCACAATCACCTGTTACAAGATTAATTCTCTAGTAACTATCAATCATCTGCAGTCAAATCATGACAAGCCCTTGCTTTAGTAAAAGGACTACATGCTGTCCAATTTGGAAATAATTGGGGGAGGGAGATTTTCAGCCTTTTTAAATGAGTATAGATAATATTAATGTATAGCAATTACGTCTCTAGATTATGAATTTTGAGAGGGTTTTTTTATTTTGGAAAATCAGAAACCGTGCATAGCTGGAATGGAATGGACTTTGGCTCACTGGATCTTGGATCGCAAAAAGTTTATTTCGCCGAATATGCAACTTGTATCTTAAAGTTTTGGTTTTGATATTCATTACTAGTAATTTTATGCTAATTTTTTTTTATAATTCATAAACTTTATCAGTTGGATTCTGGAGCCCAATTTTCCTGTTCCTCGATTTTCCACTTTGAATCCTGGACATTAGCCTCCTTTGCAGCCGTTCTTAGGGTCGTCACGTAACGTTTCCGGGGAGGGAAACGTTGCGTGACGACCCTAAGAACGGCTGCAAAGGAGGCTACCTGGACATAGGAATGCAAACACTTTAGAAAGCAGAGAAACATAAGCTACGTACTGGTTGGTTGAAATTTGTATGAAATTACATTATTACAACCAAGAGCAAACACCAACTACCTGCTGAAGTGATCGGGATGGTTTTGTATGATGCATGGAATCCTTTTCTTGCCAAGTGGTCGTTGCTATGGAAATACACCTTAGCCACGTGACCAGGGACCTTAAGTCCAAATCCATCACCATAGAAACCACAAAATCGTTGCTGCTTGATCGGCTGATCTTGAGAATCTGCCACGATGACGTAATCGTCTCTGTGATAAGAAAATGTAGTTTTGTTTTTGTATTGACAGCCATATATATAATTCATATGTATAATTCTGTCTAATATCACAATAATGTTTAAACTACCCGCATCCTGGCGCCATCTCTACTGCGAACGGGTTGAACGTAATGATGATAACAGCAGTCTTGACTTGAGGTTGAATGATCCACTGACAACGACTGTTATCTGGATAGTCATTAGGAAAACCAGGACTAGAGAACGATCCACTGGACTCGGTAAGAATACCACCGCATCTTCCTGCAGGGTTACGCAAAAAACACCATCGTTATTTCTCGAACTCAAGACGTACATGAGCTCATGTACGACAAGGTGAGGGAGGAGATGGTCAACAGCTTACCTGTCACAATAGGACAAGGCGTTTTGGAGAAAGATAGGTCATCTAGGGCTATATCTGAGAAGTCAGACTTTCCAACTATTCCTTCGAAAACAACCTTAAAATAAAAGGAAGTATTAGATTAAAACACCAATTTGATCGAATATCATGTTACAGGTAATGGATATCACGGTAGCAAGTAATATAAGGCTACTAACCTTATAAGGAAGCTTCTCATTTATTTGTAGATGAACTTCTTTCCACTCGTTGCCTTGATTACCAGATAGACTCATTACCAGGCTCCTCGTATTTCTAGTTTGAATATAGACGTTCAGGCTTCCCATGCCAATGATACCGTACATGTGATAGAAGAAACGAAGACATCTTTGACCAGATATGACTTCTGTCTCAAGATGAGCTTTGTCTCCTTCAGCTCGACCAGTCGATTCCATGTATATGTACTTGCCTAGAAGTATACAAGCACATGCATGGCTCAGGGCCCGTCCACACGTATCCGGACTGAAATTTTTGTATCCGCAAATTATTTTTTGCGRATACGAAAATGTTTGCGTCCACACGCAGCGTATTCGAATCGTTTTCACCGTCCACACGTATAAGTTTCAGTAAAATTTGCGGATACGGATGCAAAAATTTGCGGACACGTGTGGACGCAACCCGTATCCGCAAAAATTTCCGGATACGTGTGGACGGGGCCTCAGTTTTGCCATCATGACATATCAATAATAATTTAGTATAGTGAATACCTTGCCCTGAATGATCGGTTTTAGGTCCAGTCATAGCTGTAGGTGTAGCACCACTATTAATTGTCCAATCAAAATCGTCTTTGCCAACATTCATGAGTCCTGTACATAAACCTTCATCAAAGTTGCAGCTGCCTACGTCACAACAGATAATATTCATGGTTTTTTACATTCATTGGACTAGTCTACTTTATCATTACACGAACAACCTGCTTACCAATTTCAGGAGGTTTGACGGGAGCGATGGCTACAAAATTCGCCTGAAAGCCTTTTTCATTTGCTGCGTCATCGGACTTGAAGACCACGACCACTGTGTCTCCTGGGACGGCTATCTTTGGTTTATCAAGGCGTCCACAGAGTGTTTTGCCTACTTGGTTTCCTTCTTTATCCTTTATTATCACGCTATCCCATCTGTAATAATGTTAAACACATTAAAACTTGTTTTACACTGATCACCGGTCAAAACAAGACCCCTTCCTATTCGAATAATGATAATGATAACGATTTATGAATTCATATAGTGCCCTTTCTATATGAATATAATCAAAGGCGCTTTACATTGAGTTGTTAATGACAGATTGCTTTTTGTGCAATTTACAAACATGAGAGATGGTTAGTATGAAGTGTAGGCACTGAGGGTGGTCACTGCCAGGGTTTCTTTACGTCCTCAGTGGTTCTTTTACGTCCCAGTATGGAGAGACGGGACCGCCATTTATAGTGGTCATCCGAGCCACTTGAAAGTCTAACCATTTGCAGATGTAATTAATTACAAAGGCAGCACTTTCTCCTCAGTTATTTTAAGACACTGAGTGTTGGTCCGGCGGGGACTCGAACCACGACCTCCCGCACGAAAGTCCGATGCTCAACCAACTGAGCTAACCGGTTGGCGGAATGAGGAGACTCCAGAAAAGGAATTTATGTTGTTCATTATTACTTTATTACCATCAGTGACAAGCAGTTGCTTGATACTCACTCGCACGACGATCCCCACTCCACATCAAAGTCTTCAAAAGTGACTTCAATTTTTGTTGTTCCTGATGGTCCTTTGATGGTCCACTGACACAGCGCATTGTCAGGGTAGTTCTGAGGATAGTTTGGGCTGGAAAAGGTTCCTTTGGATCCAGTCAGTTCTCCTTCACATGCTGCTCAAACGATTCACACATCTATAATTAGTTTTTCATCTCAATAAACCTTTTTTGGATACTAGAATATACAGTACCTAACGTTTGAAAGGGTAATTCGCGGCCTGCATTTTGACCAGGGTGACACCCATTCAAGACAGAGTCGTTTTGTGACATGGTTTACTAATGACTCTACTTACTGTTTCTTTTACTAGTGACCCATGCTGCTCTTGCTGTAAAGGCACAGAGTAAAAGTACGAGCAAACCGACCACCGGACGCGACATTTTTACGACTAACAAGCGTCACTGATCAGAGTGGTACGTGGTATATGAGCAACAAGACTCGATGACTGTTGTTTGTAGCCTGTTGCCTTTTTATATGTTTACTAGATATAGATGTTATCACTTGGGATAGGTTCTCAAGTGTTTCCGTATTCTTTAGCAGAAGGAAAAACAAATAGAGTAGCGTGGAATATTTACACAGGGCTTCACTACTTTAATAACCATTAATTAGTTGATTAGTTGGTTTGTCATCAGAGATCAAAACAACAGCATTTCTCACATTTCTGACCTATGTTGAATGTTGATGAGTAACAAGCCAGAGTCACATCTATAGCCTTAACTTTGCTGGTGGGTGATCTGGTGTCGCAATCAAGGCGTCGTAAGAACTGGGACGCTTGGTTGAGAGCAAAGATCACCATGGTGCTCGAGCCCTGTAGAGCAAGCCACTATTTACAGTTTGTCATTGTAATTAATTACTTTCATATAAATGTAAGTAGGTTAAGGACAGGAACTTGATATGCGTCCCCAAAACAAAACAACATGAGTTGCAAATTAAAGCAGTTTTTAATGATGTTTGCTTTCCAGATGACACTTTTGCTAATGGTTATATGCTGGGCTCTTCAAGGATAGATCTTTAACCTTATTCAAGTATCAAATAGCCAATAATTATTCGTGCGCTGCACTAATGAATCTTCTTGATATAGTTATAAAAAACATCCGAAATATTGTCATTTAATTAAAGTTCAGAGCCAGTTTTACGAAGGGTGGAGTAACGCGCTATCCGATAGATAAATCTTATCCACTGGATAAATTCTTGGATAACAGCATCACTTTATCCACTGAATAAGGATTTGTCCGTCGGATAGCGCTATCCAACCTTCGTCACAGTACAACCGGGCACTGGAGATAATGCTTTTTTGGGTTTTAAGCTTTTTTAAATTTATGCGATGAAAGAGAGAGAGTAAATGCTAAGACCTGAATGAAAAATAGATGGGAAAAAGTAAGACAAAAAAAAAAAAAAAAAGGAGAAAAAAGAAAACATTAAATTAAGAAAGAGTATTATTCGGCTTCTACTGTTTTCAGGTGAGTATAGCCACCTAAACTGACTGCTATACTAGTAAATGAACCCCATCAATCGATGCAGCTGTATGCTTCAAGGGTATATGCTCAACAATTTGAATTCGATAGGAAAGATTACCGACATGTGAACAGCATGGACTATCAAACTACAGGATGCTTGGTTTCCGATATGCCTTCAGTTTCTACAGTTCAGTACCTATCAAATGACCATCTTATTAAATGTAGAAGAAATTGGATTTTTTAATTAAAAAAATGATTTATTATTTTTTCTTGTACTTTTCTAGCGAATGTGACACGCATACTGTTAACTCAGTGTAGACTCAACTAGTCATCAATGATTATTCAGGTCTAGGTAATGGTCTCTAAACGTTCTCTTGTGATGAAATATATGTCATCTCTTGCTTTTGTTATTTTTTCAGATGATCAGCCGAAAGCAACCAATGATTGTTTTGTATAATTTTCTGAGATTCAAATAAGGAGTTTCCCTTTTGGGAGTGATAATAAAAGAATATAATGCAGTGATTATACTGGAAACTCATTATATTTTTATCAAATTCATTAATTTAACCAGGACCATACTTCCAGACATCGAGTGCTGAACCGTCGTATGGGATTACGCCTATGCTGTAGATTTCGGCCCCAACACCGCTATCCCGGGAGGAATTACAGCCTGATCAGGATGCTCGGCCGAAGCCTAAGGGAGAGGTTAGTCGGCCCCTAGTCCGTAGATGATTAACCCCTTGCTATGACCAGCAGACCTGATATATCGCTTGTGTCATTGATGGTTAGTTACGCATGATCATTCTTTCCCATGTGGGATGTGTTTCCAATATTTTACTCGCAAACGTTGGGTAAAAAACAAAATTCAAAAATTTCTAATAAAACCGAAAAAAAATTCGGACTCACGAAACTGCGTGTGAGTTGTTAGTTTCGGTTACTTTATTTTTGAGCAGGAAGTTAAACATTCGATCAAGTCACTTCCGGTTCGAACAAAGATGGTCGGCTATATCATAGTGGTGATGATATCACGAATAACAAAAGATATACGCGCGTGATCATCACTAAATCCTTTTCAATAGTATCATGGTTAAGGTCATGGTTATAAAGGGAAGTACCGGAAATACGCTAAATCTGAAAGAATTATGCCAAGCCGTGGTGATTAACTTGCCAAGATTACTTCCTTTCGACTTGACGTTATTCTATTGAACAGATTGGGTTGATTGTGTAGTGTCAGATCAGATCATACCCCATGTGTTAGAATAGTTGAAGCCAAACGTGCGTGACACCACATTGTTTCGAATACCTCCATGCATGAAACGCGCCAGTTGGTTTGCGGTCGATCATATCATCATTACTAGCTGACCCGGCTTTTACCACGAACTTCCACGTATTTTCTTCCATAACCGACTCTACCCGTATGAGTTATGATTACATCATTTCCCTGTTGGTTAGGGGTTCGCTTAGTACGACAGTTGTTCCTGTATCAGCATTTAGTGTCAACAGCCGATGAAATGAGCTTAGCTTGAATCTAATTTTCGTTTCATTTGCACAATAGCTATAACGTGCTAAACATCACAAAACCAGAAGTATTCCACTGTCCACAAAAGTCATTTGTTTCATCAATTCAAGTAATTTGGCCCAAGGTAATGGCAGAAAACACTACATCAAAATCTTTGTACGAAGACTTGCAGCCTATCCAAGGTGTTATTCTTGGCTTGATAGGTACGCCAGGGATTATAGCAAACATCTTTGCTATAGTGGTGACTGTTAAGCTGCTACGCCAGCAGAATTTAAGTCCGAACGTATTTGTGTTTGGTCTAGCATGTATGGACTGTTTTGGTATAATCGTGGTATGTACTCCAACATGGCTGTGCTATATATTTGGTCGCTGGGCTGGAGGACAGCAAATGTGTAAATTTCAAGGCTTCATGACACTGTTCTGTACACTGGGGACAGGGTTTATAGCCACATCGATGTCTGTAGACAGGTTTATTGCAGTTAAATGGCCGTTACATCACAGGCAACGAGTGACAGCCAAAGTGGCCAAGAGACTTGTATTAGGTCTTGTCACAACAGCTGGTGTCGTAGCAAGCTTTCCAGTTCTTGGGTTTGGCAGCTTCGTCATGAATTTGACCGGGACTTACTGCACACTTAACTGGTTTGCAGAAGATAAAGAAGACATATCATTCTCATACATGTATGCAGTGATAGGAATGATGCTGGTGGTTACAGTTATTTTCTGCAATATTAACGTTGTTGTCAAACTTTGCAAGCGAGAAGACAAGCTGCGAGGCATGTCACGGAAGAGTGAACAACAAGAGAACCAAGCGAGCAGAACACTTGAAAAACAGTTTACTAAAATGATGATAGTGATATCACTGATGTTCCTCATCTGTTGGACTCCTTTCGTGGTGAGTAGATACTTACGATATATTACTAATTCGTTATAGATCAATGAAGTGATAGATCGATTCTTGACAAATCTATTATATTTTAAGGAATAAGTATGGAATTCTTCGTTTGCAATAGACAAAAGATTTTTCAGTGAATTCTTTTGTTATATCTTCCAATTGTGCAAGAATAATGCTTTCTAACCGACAATGCGATTGTAATAGGACAGTCTAGACCAGTCTTGTGAACAGTACTTAAATATATGGATTACTGATATCACAGCGTAGTAGTCTTATCTGGTAATTTAATGAATTCAAGCTGGCACGACACCATATCATCTTGGCGCCAGCTAGTTGAGCATATGCTCAAAACACTGCGGGGTCAACGATGCGTGATGAATGAACGAATGAATGAATGAATGAATGAATGAATGAATGAATGAATGAATGAATGAATGGATGGACCCACATAACAATCTGGGGACCTCAATGTGTATGCACACCAACAATCTGGGGATGGTTCACAAAGTGGGGACTTGAATCAGGTCCCCACTTTGAAAAAGTCAGGAAACGGATTATCTTAGCTAGAAAACACTTTTCCAAAGAAATTTAAGCAAGTCCTCAGATTGCAATTTTTGGTGTGCAAACTAGTAGGTCCCCACTTTTCATGTTAATAAGTGCAAAAACAAAAATCAGTTTTTTAACTTTACAGTACACAATATGACTTTTATCAATGTAAACATCTTCAATCAAGCAATGCAAATTATTGACTCTATTTTTAACTGGAAAAGCACACTTTCTAAAGTTCAGGTCCCCAAATTGTCGAGTGAATAAGTGTGAAAAAATTGTTTTCAAAGAAAATGTCGTTTTGATTCCAAAAAGCTCTTAAAACATCTATTCAAAAGGTGCAGTGACCGGAAAACATTTTTTTGAGCTTTTTTTAAAAATTTGGGTCTCCATTTTGCCCCACACTGCCAATAGTCCCCAGTTTGTAGTGTGCAAACCAGATTTTCTTTTAACTGTTTGATGACTTGCAAATAGAGTCCCAATATTGACAAACGGACGCAGTGTGATATTTTTGGACGATTACAAAGCAGTGAGTTGAGACTGAACTCTAATATTTATTTATTAACAAGAAATAACAGTGTAATACTCAAAAAATGATCATGGAGTACTATTTTTATAAGTTAGTGATCCTGCTCTAATAGAATGAGAGAAACTGCTTAAGGCCCCGTTACACATTGAAACTTTTAGCTGAAACTTGTGAGCAACAGCGTTGCAAGACAAGTTTCAGAAGCAATTGTACCGTGCAACACCCAAGCTGTGTGAAACTTTTGTTGGGAGAAAGTTTTTGCAACCGAAACTTATGTCGCAAACAAGTTTCAGGATGGAATTACCCCTGAGAAACTTGTCTCGCAATTCCGTCGCATACAAGTTGCAGCTCAAAGTTTCAACGTGTAACAGGGCCTTTAAACTCAGAGTCCCAGGTGGTGGCTCTTTCACATACATATATTTCAAAAATCGTGGTCACAGCCGAAGCACAGTCCACACTCCTAAGACTGCAAAATATATTGGGAATTTTTCGCATAGTAAATTTATTCACAGCATATTTTTGTTGCGTATTGTGGACTAGTAGCATGTATACCAGTAATATACCAGTAGGTGTATATAGGATTTGGATACTCATAGCAAATTACCCCTAAAAGGTACCAGAGCCTCATCCAAATGGGCACAACATCTTATAATTTTACCCCCAAAACCAGGTTTTAAACTAGCATAAGGGATGACAATAAGATGATGATATCAATCTTTTGATATATAAAGCGGAATATGTTCAAAGTGGAATGTGTTCAAATTTTAGATTGTGTTGTTAAGTTCTTTCGAATGACACTGTCATTTTGGTCATAGGATAAACTTGGGTTTGGTGCCAAACTTGTGACATCATTTTCCTGAAAAAGATATAAAAATCAGAACAAGGGCACTAGGTCAAACATTGTTTTTTTTTAGCCATTAAACTTCGTCATATNGAATGAACGAATGAATGAATGAATGAATGGATGGATGGATGGATGGATGGATGGATGGATGGATGGATGGATGGATGGATGGATGGATGGATGGATGAAAGAATGGATGGATGGATGGATGGATGGATGAATGAATGGATGGGCAAACGAAAGAACAGATGGAAAATAGAACGTCATATTTTGTATTTGATGAATCTCCAATGATGGAATATAATTATTATGTTACATTTGTAACATAACAATATCGAATAGATCACTCAGTTGCGCGCTAAGTTATCGGAGCTCACTCTCTAGTACACGGCTGTTATTGATCCATATAAAATGATTGTCCAGCTTCGATCCGTGGTGCATGTATGAATACTAAACCATGGTCTTTCTCTTTGTAGATTCGCATCATCAGTAACTTAGCAGGAGTCTGGATAAGCTGGTCAGCAGATCTGCAGGCTTCAAGGCTACTTCTTCTAAACTTGGTTCTCGATCCATTCACATACGTCTTGACACGACAGCATTACCGTCATGCATTGCGTGACCTTTGCTGTGCATGTCGCAAGAATAAACGGCGCCAAGGATTTAAAGGGAACAGCTCACTGACGTCATCCAGTAGGAACATCCGAATAACCAATTCTAGTAATATACTTGACGTTATTGACATAAAGGAAGAGCCAGTTAAAGAACAGGAAGTAATGAAAAATATGAAAAGTAGTGATTCATGCAATGAGTCGCTGGTCTGAAGCCACAGCACGAAAACTAACAATACAACAAAGAAAGACAACGAAAAAGAAAAGGAATGAAGTAAAGTGAAAGCATTAAAACCACAATTAATCATACCACAATTTAGCCGGAATGGAACGACATGGAACCATTGTTGACTATGATGGAACTAGAAGTATCATTAAGAGACACAACCAGTGAATTTGCGAAGAGCAAAAAAATCGCCAGCCTAAACTGCAGAAATCATGAGGGATGCTCTTCTTACTTCTGTTAAAAGTTGATTTTTTAGTATCTTTACTGCGCTCTTTCCAAACCAGCCGATCCTCAGTTTACTACATAACCAACGTAGACTGCTACCATAGTGATTTCTTGTATTTAGCCGAACAGCATTTACCTACAGGTGCCTGGCCTGATTTAGAAATCACGATGGGCCGGGGCCTGTATTCCCTTAGTCTCCTGCGCAGCCGCTATTAGTTAAGTAGCTACTTAGGGGAGTGAGCGTGGCGTGACGAAACTAATAACGGCTGCGTAGGAGACTAGTATTCCCTTCAGTATCTTTGATCTACTCTCCCCATTTCAAAACTTCTTAAGGCTTGTATAATGGAACCGTTAATAATGATATGAATTCTAGTTCCTTATTATGGCACGTCAAAGCCATAAAGATATGACATTTAATTTTGGATAAATATTTATATAAATTAATATATTAAAGCTAAATATTTTAATAAATAATCTGCTAGACGTTTTTTCGTTACCATTATACACTTCCTTTCATGACGTCATGACAGGTGAGGCCGCTGCTTGACTGAATGGGTTCCCTGTGGTATTACCTCTGGTTCATTGTACTGTGGGCTCAAATGTTTTGTGTCAAAATTATTTATCTTCGCATCAACTGAGTTCAATGTTTTTAAAATTCGAGCCACAAAAATATTGTTAAATATTTTAATTCGTGCATATGGAGATACCAGTAACGATGAAAAATCCATTTCATAAAGCAATGAAGCAAACTTCGTGATAAAACTATTGTTTGTTTGAGTTGAAGAAGACTGGCTTTGAACATGATACAAGCCGATGGTAGTGGTGATGGTAATACCTCTTCTAGCCTGCCAGCATGGGTAAGATTATATCTATATATTATGAATTATTATACTGCTTTATTGGTTTGTCCTGTTTGATATTTTAGTTTTTATTTCGCATGTATTTAAGTGTGAAAGTGCTTTCGTTTAGAAACATTTTTGCAAGTAGTTTACTGAAAATATACAGATTCTATCACAAGCCAGTCATGTGATGTTGTTGTTTTTTAATGGTCACGGGGTTTGCTCGATAAGCTCATTGTACTGTAAAAACAACGAAATGTTATAAAGACGTGTTATGCTAAAACCGGCCAAGATAATACTGGTACATGTTTAAGCATACGACAGTGTCTTGTTATTTGATATTGTTACATTGATTCTTGTAACAACAAATACAAGCTATAAAATAAAGTCAATTATAGAGCCTATTACACTTTTGTTTGCTTGAAAAACAATTTTTTTTTTAAATTGTAAGTGTACAAGCAAATTAAAAGTCACAAGCTCCAAACACTGACATAAGGCACACAAGGGATAAAGAGAAAAGAAACTAGCTCAAAACTGGTTCACAGACATTGTATTATTGCTCTGTAATTGCACTCAAAAAATGGTCGTAATACACAGGAAATAGAGTGTGTCATATAATAATGTTCTATAACGGTTGTTCTTGCTTTCTTTGCAAAATAACGCGAGACTGCAACCCCCTGTATACCATTCTTGACTTCTTAACATTTGAAAATATTTTAAAACTCGAAGCAGCAATACTTTGTTATCAAATCCTTAATATGAATAATATCAACACTTAAGTTCCAGAACTATTCTCTGGTATTGTTAAGTTAGCAAAATCTCAACATACTTATAATACCAGATATGCTTCAACAAACAATCTTGTCCCTCCCATATCTCGTACTAACTATGGCAAATTTATGTTCCGATCTGCAATAACCAAAATATGGGTAAACGTCCCAACTCCTATTAAAAACAGCAAATTACTGACTGCATTTAAATCATGAAAAGACACTTAATAAGACTACAATAAATTTGATGTTAGTTACTTTTTATCTTATTAAAAACATGTATGTGCATATGTAATATATACAATATGAGTGGCCGTGTTGTATCAGATATACAACCACGAGCTGAAGTCCAGTGATTGTATATCTGATAGAATCCCATGAAACTATTCAATCTCGCGCGCTGATTGGCTACCGAGAGTGGGTATTTAGCATGGAATACCATGGTTTGAAAAGCTGAATACCACGATATATAGGGATCCCGCGAGTTGTTGTCGTTCTCGCATTCACCTCAAAATACAAAGATTTTCGCCTGTCACACTATCTTTGTTTTGTTTAGTTTGAAAGTTGCAAAAATAGAGTTCCCAAATTTTAGTATTCAGCTAGACGCTGAGATACAAAAGTTGAGAAAACCATTAACGCTTGCAACAACAAGAAAAAAGAGAAAAGTTGCCAATATGGAGGCAGCATCAATTTCATCCTGGAAAGAAAAGACAATAAGCGAAAAAATTGTCAGGGATACCGAGAAAAGTACCGAAAAGTCTGTCTGCCCCAAGTCAACCGATGAAAATTCTACTATTGTCGAGTACACAGATGAAGAAATCCTGGAGTTTAAAGAGAATTTGGTCGCGGCAAACACGAAGAAAAGCACAACTACATCTGTACGCCRTTTTCAGTCATGGTACAGAGAAAAATATAAGAAAGAAAGAAAGAAGCACCTTACCTTTTGAAGCATTTCTTTCTAGAAATACGCCAGACAACCAAAGATAACAAGGGCAAAGAATGTGAGCCAGGTTCTCTTCAGACGTATCGCAACGGTCTGCGAAGGTTTTTCCTTGAGCGGCCATGTCCTCCTTCCCCCGACAACTTCGACATCGATAAAGAAGCAGATGTAGAGTTTGAAGAGGTCGCAACAATGCTGTCAATGAAGAAAAAAGATCTCAAGAAGAAAGGCTTAGGGACAAAGCCAAATGCTGCCAGGTCGTTAGAAGAVAATGAAGTCGAGAAAATGTGGTCTTCAGGTGCTTTAGGCTTGCACACTTCAAGATCTCTCCTCCATCTTGTTTGGTGGAATAATGTCACTCATCTGGGAATRAGGGCTTTCCAAGAGCAGTACGACTGTACGATTGATGATTTTACCATCACAGAGTACTTCATAGAGTACAAAGAGCGCCAAACCAAGAACCGCGAAGGAGACGAGAATAGCAGGAAAAGAACAAGAAAGTACAACAATAAAATATGGAGGACCAATGGCGGCGAACGCGATCCATACCGTGCTTTCGTTGAGTACTTGGAGCATCGACCAAAAGGTGAACAAGTCCCAAAAAAT